GCTCCTCTGGTGACACTGGATCCCACTCCTCTCCCTCTTCCTGCTCTTCACCCTCAACCTCTCCCTCCTACTCCGTGGAACGCATCATTTCCTGATGGTGCAGAGGAGGCTACAATTTGGGCTCCCCCAGAACAGCATGATGTCATCCTGTGACAGCAAGGAAGGCACAGTTGTCTCCCAGCCGTGTTTTTGGAACATTCTAAAGGATCTTCTTCCCTCAGTTCACGCAGTTCAGACTCAGGAATCTCATTAAAACACCATATTTCAAACTGAATTCTCCATTTTAAGGCTGAATAATTAACCACCCTTAATTTCGAACTCTCGTCAGATCCCTTCAGCACGTTCTCCTCCATTTCTCCACACGTAGGTTTCAGTGAATGGTTCTTAGGGGATGAGCCTATATTTAGCAGAAGGCGTAGGAGAGCAGGGGAGACCTCTTGGCAGGAAACTTGGTTCTCTTGTCCAAAATTTTCACCTGGGGAACAAACGCCGTGCAGCACATAATGACTACACTCACCGACGCTGAACCTTCACGACAGTGTTTCTGCTTTGACTAATGAGCAGAGCCAGACCCAGGCTTCAGTTTTCTGGAGCACAAGCTGCTCTACGATAACCAGAACCTGGAAAAAGAGAGAATCCCTCTTTCACTAATACCTGCAGGGAAATGTACTCACTCCTCAGACAGGATCTGAACATACTCAGAAATGTTCTGTCTAATGGGTTTTCAACACCGTTTGTGTGTCTGTGATGTGCAGCCTGAGCACCACCAGGCTACGTATGTTTACAATTTAACACTTGGTCTAATGGTATTAAGACCTTTTTTTGTATCACCTCCTGGTTTCTCGGGTCTAATGGTATTAAGGCGTTTTTTTGTATCACCTCCTGGTTTCTCGACTCCTTCTCCCTCTCGTTTTCCTTTTGGCCCACAAGAAGCAGAGGGCTGCCCACTCAGTCTGGATCTCACAGTACTCTAACACATTTCTCTATAAAATAACAGTTAGAAACAGGCATTTCACAACTCCTTACTGTTATATTGAAATACAGGATTTGTCATATTTAAAAAAAAAAAAACAGGAACAAAAATGTAATTTATAGGAAAGATCACCAGGAGTTGTATTTAATTTCTAACACAGTTTTGAGTCGACAGACTGATTCAATTTCAGTTCAGTTTCAGTCAGGGTGATGTCTCAGTTTTATTCTTTTTTCAATAGATTTAGCTGAAAAAACATGTCATATTTTCTATTAATAAAGTTATTATATTACCTTTCAATTTCTAACTTTACAGCATCATTATTATTATTATTCAATGAACAACCCACAGACAAACATATTATTATTCACATGTTGGCAAAAGGCTGTGACAAATGTAACTTCATATCTGATCCATATTGGTTCTTACGTTATTCTTTGTTTATTTATGTTATACCTTCTAGTCAACAAAAACGGCTCTGATTGGCTCTCGTCTGTTTACGACATCATCGACCGACTGCTTTTCATTGTGACGTCAACATCTCCCATAAGTTTATGAAGAAAGTCTTGTTCCATCATTCTGACATACGGTGTTAGAACATGACATGTGTCGTATGTAAGTTCCGACCTTTATATCTCTATATAAATATCACATAACTTCATATTTTAAAAACATGTTAGAAACATCAGGGCAGCTGTGGCTCAAACCAAACTTCCTGGTCATCGCCGCCTGAACCTGTTCTTTAAATACAGAACCCTAATCCCATCCTTCTCTTTGACTTTATCCCGAGAACCCGATCCGTCCTCTGCGGGAGAGATGATGCATCTTAATGGGAGGAGATGACCTCCTCTTGTCAGTCTATTAAATTAACAGCAGGAGTCTCTCCTTTCTCCTCCCCTCACTCCTCGTCTTCCACACCAGAATTTATTGAGTTTCCTTTTACCGGGGAGAGAAGAGTATCCTCCGTGCTCGCAAATGTGGTGATTTATTTGGTTCTTAATAAACTCCACCCGTGCCCACATGCTTCTGGCACCGACTTTGTGTTGTCCATTCTGTTATTAATATTGTCTGGCCGTCCTCCCTTCCTTCTTTCCTTCCGTCCTTCCTTCTCTCCTTCCCTTGGCGTGGGATTCGCAGATGAGCTGACAGATTGCTGTTGTCCTGCAGAAAACGCGAGCACGTCGGCCTACAAGCTGCTGGTGATGGATTTTTATGCCCTGGTAATTTCATAAGAGCCACGGCTTCACCCGCTTCACTTCACCCGCCGGCTGTACGAGCAGCAGCAGCAGCAGCAGCAGCAGCAGCAGCAGTGATCACTGATTGTGAATTTATGAGCAGTTGTTTTGTGACACTGTTGAATTTTATGAGCTAAGATTTTTTCTCTAACGTATGTGGTTCGTGTACATATTGAATATGTATTTCATCGGATTCGCAGTCTTTTCAGTAACAGTAAAGCGTACTGACATATAACTGCTGGAGACGTGCAGTCAGGACGACCGAGACCAGTCCAAAAACCTGTGGTTTGTTAACTGTGTCATTGCTGCCTGGACTTTTCCCAGAAACTAGGTTAAAGCACCGTGTTAGCAGGACATCTGTGAGTGTTAAAGGGACGTGTTGCTTAAAGGGACGGTTCAGGTTGTTTTGAGGTATGTTTCATATTGACTTTACCTTCAGCCACAATTTTTTAATTTTTAAAAAAGGGTCGGATTGAAACCCCAAATGGGACAGTTTTGGCCCAAGGACCGTATATTTACCACTCCTGGACTAAAAGTTTAAATTAGAGGGGCAAACCCCCCCCCCCCCCCCCGATGACCTCTTGTCTGACCAGTAAAGAAATCCATACTGCTGTTCTTTTTAGCATATGACTTAAACAGTTGAATGGCTTTTTACATTCTAGAATATCCAATAATACTCCGAAATATGTAATTTTTTCATTGTTTGTAGTTAAACGTTTAAATGTTTCATTTGAATCAACTAGTCAGAGCCAAAAGCAAGAAGAAAGACTTTCTGAAAAGGTTCTGACTGTAGATGCCCGTGACCCCACGACTCTAGATGTCAATAATGATTGAATTTTGCACTTGAGTATTTAAAAAAAATTAAAGGATGAGGTTTTACTTCACCTTCGCTCATTGGCAGCCAAGATTGGGTCCAGGGGGAATAAACGGAAGATAATAAATGGATGAACTGTAAACCAGACTAATCAACCTACGCTTGAATCATTAAGTTAAAAAACTTGGATTTGTAACTTAAATACCAAAAAAAAAAAAACTGTCCAAAAACCTCCTAAACCAAACAGAAAACCCCCGCTGCTCTTTTGTGTTATTCTCTCTCGGCCGTTGTTTTACCAGAGAAGCAGCTGAACAGTAAGATTTGGCTGTGAATGAATGGCGTATCGTAGATTGAAGTGGATAAGCGTCTTGTTCAGCGAGCCTGTTGTGATCTGTCTGTGTCCGAGCTGGCAGCCGCGAAAACAAACGTCTGTGTCTCGGCGGTGATTGTTTACTGCAGTAACAGCATCTACCACGTATCAGCGCGTCGTACAAGCTCTCGCACAAAACCCTTGAACTGCACCTTGAACAATGTGGGGGGAGTCAGGTGCCGGAGTGGGAACCTGCAGCATGTCATGTCAGCCGGAGGACGCGATAACGTGGAGGAGACGCTGGCCCAGGTCCCTCAGAGATATAATTAGCATCCAGCGCTCTTTAATTAGCGCTCCTGCTTATCTTGTAGTCATTAAGATTAGGAATTAGCAATGGGAAACTGCAGGGAGTTGGAGAGAACAATGATTATAAATCTCCTAATTCATTTTTAACAGTGCAGGGCGGCGTTGGCCTGTTGGATCAGATTGGTCTCCCTGGATGTGATAAAATACCATTTCGGAGGCTGCACATGCCCTCACTCAGATCCGGTCATAAAAACGTTTCTGTTGGTGGCAGAGAGTTCTAGAAACCATCAGAGCGACACACAGAGCCATTTTGGGGTCATGGTAGGGAGCAGGGTTCGTCCGACGAGTCCTCACACCCCTAAAAAGTTCTTCACATTAAAATTACTGTAGAAGGGTAGTGTCTACACACAAGCATCAATATCGCCACCTGGTGGTTCGACCGCTGAGGGAGCTGCAGAGACGTGTCTTTTAAAGTTTTTGTTTGAAAATAAGCCTGATCAGAATCAATGAGTCACTAATGCACACAGACCTGATTTAAACCAGTGGCTCCCATGATTGTTTCCCGTGCCCTCCACCCCCCAATTCTACAGAACTGCTACTATCACTGAAGCAGGGAACTAAAACAACAGTTGATGCAGTTCCCACAATATTGAAATAACTGGCATTGCTGCGGCCCTCCTACGATACCTCCTCACTACGATGACCGCCGCTTTCAGTAGAAATCAAAGTTGAATTGTTTTGGTGTTTGAGTGTCTTGTCGGAGGGAAATCTCAGCAGACCTACAGAGGGGTCACTTCCCCTCAATTTCCAAAAATCTGATGGTGTTCAGTCGCGCGAATCGTCTGGTTTCACTTTTGATTCCAGCCCAGTAAGGTCACACTCCCTTTCCCGTTATCTCTCCCTCTCGAGCTGCTGCACTTTAAGTGATTTTTGTGAAGTTTTGAAACAGACTGAATGAAGGTTCAGCTCATTTCTGGCCAAAGAACAATTTCATTACATTTTCCTTTTTTTTTTATTTCTAAATAAAGAATGATTTGGGGAAAAAAAATCTTTTCCTCCACCCACTTGGTAAAATTGCTCCAGCCCACGTTCTACCATGACGTACGGGCCACATGCAGTAATCAATGAGGGTCCTACTGTATCTGGTGCACCAGGGTGCTTCAAGTAGTCCTCAAGATTTAATCATTTCATACTGAGACTAATTTAGTCACAGCAGCTTATATTTTCGCAGGAGTGACTAAACACGGTATGACAATTTCCAGGATCTAAAATCAAGGCTTCTGGAGCCTGGAGTGGCTGTAAATCTCAGACGTTGTTAAGACATGAGTTGAGCTATTGATCTGTTGTGAAAGGTCTGCTTTCCTGCAACTGATGTGATGTCATTCTCAGAAGAGATGAGGACGTTGGTGTGAAGCCATCACGTCCTCACTCTGACACTTGTTTACTGAGCCTGAGACTACGGTGTCTTCATGACTCATTGGCACTCCTTGTGGTTTTTTTAAATTATAGTAACAAAAAAAAAGCCTAGAACAGAAACAAGACAAGAAACAGTTGTATTTACTTTTCTTTTGCTCTAATGTAACAGCTGGGAATGGCAGCAAGTTGGTTTTAAAAGGATACAAAAGGGGGATTAAAAGCTGAACATGAGCTGCTGAACAGGTCGGGTGATTCATGATAAACCACCTGACGCAGCTAAGGTAACAGCTAACAGCGCACACTCTTCTCCTGACAAAGCTACAGTAACCACAGGCTGAATCAGAGAGGCGTCATTTTCTCTGTCCGTGCTGAGTTGAGTAATAATGGAGAAACACTCGCGCAGAGTGTCGGCACATCTGGTTCCTCTTTCAGCCTCGCATTTGACAAATAGTTTGATGGGATGTCATAGTGCAAAATCTGAAAAACAAAAGACCATTTTAATGTTTAAATAATTAATGTTCCGCTAACAAAAGCGCTTAAGCAGTTGCTTTAATTCCCTCTCCAGCTGTCGGATTAAGTCAAATATTGAATGCAACTTCAGGACAACAGCCCAGAGCTGACTAAGTGATTGATTGGAGTTTATTTACACAGATTACCATGAGAAAATCGAAGCCTTCGCTCGCAGCCTTAATACGGAAAAGTGGCGTTTTCTAAATGCTGTATTTAATTATCTATATCTAAGTGTTGCAAGACCTAGAACACGGTTGATGCTGCTGTCTTTCAAAGGCATCACAACGTGTTTTGGGCAGATGAGGAATCCGTTGCATTTTACGATTTTTGTCCTACAGTCTTTATGTAACGTCACTTCTATCGAATGTCTCTGAGGAAAACAGGATCAGCTTTTACTTCCTGTTTCTGCCATATTTGCCTTTCTGTTACAGCATTTTCTGGACTATAAGTCGCACGTTTTTCATCCTTTGGCTCGCTTTGAGACTACATATATATCAAAATATATAATTTCACGTTTTCACACTGGCATCCGCTAGAGGGCACTCTAGGCTTGAGTAGCAGTATCTGCTACTCCTGTACCACTGAAAATTTACATGTTCGTTAATTTCATACTGTCTGCCGCTAGAGGGCAGTGGTGCGTCTTATACTCCAGATTGACTTATAGTCCGGAAAATACAGTAATCATGATTAATTGTGATACCCTGTGATTAATCAGATTTATATTTCATAATTGGACTAAAACCTTAAACGTTCTCCTCTTGGACCTGACTGAACAACCTCTGTTCTCCTGCACTGCTCGACACTGACACTGACACTGACTTACGGTGTGTGCACTTGCTAAAGGATTAGCTGACTTTTCCAAGCACGTCTTCATACCAGTCCTGTCAGTTACTTCTCATGCAAAGGCGACAACAGTGACAGTAATTGTCCCTGAGGAACGGTGTTCCTCTTGTATCATTTTTCACAGTTTGACACTTGACACGCGGTGTAGCACTTTTTGTGGTTATTTGGGCAGGAACACTTCCTCCCTCTCCTTTAAAATCATTTATAATTGTTAGCAGATAATGAGACAGAAGGTTCTAAGGAGAACATCTGTCTATTCTCTGCCATCAGAAAACGGCGACTCTTCGCTCCTTCACCTAAAGCTCTGCTCATTTTCCTCATCTTTTCATTGACGGCCCTCCTGACCTTGACATGAGTCAGATTCTTCTTTCATAAGATTCATTTTCTTTGCGCATTTGTACCAGGATGGAACAAAGAAAATGAAATGCAGCAAAAGAAACAAAGGAATCAAACGTGGAACAGGGCACACTTGCCTGGGCTTATTCAATAATCACTCATGGGTGAACCTTATTAAAGAGATCCACGGAAAAGGTTGTCATATCGGGCGACGTAATCCCCCGGTGAAAGCTGTCTTATTATAAGAAAATGAAATGTGAGGAAATGTAAGAAGTTCTTTTCTGAGATGCAGCAGAATTTATTTTCATATTTTCATATTTGTGTTGTTGTGATTCTTGTTGTTGTTGTTGTTGTGATTGTTGTTACATTGATTCATTTTGGGAACACCAGGGTTTTCTGCTTTCATCGGAAGTGACAGTGGAGGCTGATTAGAGGAGACGGTGTGCAGCAGGAAACACCGCTGCTGTGATTTTTGTTTACCCACCTGAACTGTCAGCAAAACTAAAGCAGGTAGCGCCACCAGGGCCTGCCATGATAACATATTCATGTTTTATTATTCGCAATTTACTGTTTATGTCAAGAGGAAAACGATTGTGTGGCTGCGTGCAGGGACAAATTGAGGTCATTGTACGGAGAATCTGCCGCTGGGTTTTCAGAACACACTCCTCCCAAGTCTTTTTGACATTTAGGGACTTTTATTCACATTGATTGGCTGTCAAATGGCAGCAGACTAAATGTGGCGGAGAATTAAAAAAAACATAGAAAATGGAGCATCTGCACCTAGCTAAAAAAATGATGATAAGAAAGTGTGCCTTGAGGTGACACATACAACGCAAGTTAGCCTAAAATGTAGAGAAAAAATTGGCTAAAGCTAGCCCGAACTACTGGAAAAGAGGCTACTATAGCCTACACATAAATAAACATCACCTTAATATAGTTGTAGTATCAGTATAGTTATTATATCAGAAACAAAATACAGATTATTTTTACAGTGATATTTTCTTCTTGACTTAGAAGGTGTTCCTCAGGGATGAATGTTG